GAAAGATATCATTCGTGGCGACAATTCAAGGCACTATGATCATTGTACATACTACACTGGCGTACCGGGTGGCAACCCAGCACCTAGTTCGTCAATCCCCAATGAAACAAGACCGATCCCAGCACCTATGACAGGAGGCAACGTTGGTATCTTTGAGGCGGTTTTCGGTCGACCTCGCGCAAACATCAATCGTCCTCCTGTCCCGCCCATACTTATAGACGTTCATAATAATCCTTGGGATAGGATCATAGCCCGAGGAGTTGGTGCTGTGGAAAACAATCATGATATGGCAATAAATGCTCCTGATGGTACTTTCATACCACATCGCCGTCTTAATCGCTATCCGGCTGCACTCTTAGATAGACCAGGACCCCTCCAGGATATAGCTGGGCGGGAAGATGAAAGACAACCAAATGTTCCATATCTCGCTCAACCACCAGCAAGTATAGAAGAGAGACGGGAGAGAATCCGAAGACGGTTGATCCGGCACCAGCCGGCAACAGAAAATCGAGTAGAACAAAACATAAACGACAATGCCAGACCACAAATCCGACCCTTGCTCTTGCCTCGACCCTTGCTCTTGCCTCGACCCTTGCTCTTGCCTCGACGAGTAAATGAAATGCCCCAGTTGCGGGATGCGGGTAGATTATCACCTCTACCCCATCTACCTCGACCAATAGGTGATCGTTCGAACGAATCAAACCGGAGCCCAACTCTGGAAGCAACCCCCCCGTAACGTGTTCCGGCGTCCACCTCCTTCACCTGGTCGACCCGGCCCCGCTCTCAATAACTGGAACGAGCTCAATGGAAACTCCTCGCCACGAGCCAGTGAAATTCGGGGAAGGCCACTCCCCGTCACTTCACATTTACAAAATCCATCAACTATTAGTCAGCCGAACGAAACGAGGCGTCGAAGACCTGGTGGGACTTTTGATCTGACAAGTGAACAGGAAGGCGATCAAAGGAATCGTTTCTGGGATCATCTTCCGCGTCTGGGAGAGGCAGGTCCGGTATGTATAACTGTAGTAACTAAATACTATAAGCTAAATATTGCGCAAACTTACTAGGGCCCATCCACGTCTCGTAATGCGAATAGTAGGTTATCAGGGACTACTCAACGTGCTGGTGTTACATTCCCTCCGATCCCTTTACCCTCAACCCACCTGCGTAACTCTCTACCTGTTCCTGTGAGTCTATTGCTTTGGATTAGATGCCGAGGGCCGACCTGACGAACATATTTAGGGTCCATCGACTTCTCGTGAGGAAGACAGGCCAGTGTGGCGCCGTTCGAGTCCTATGCCCGAGAACTCGTTTTCTGCACTCCTAGCTTCCCTTGAATCCCTTGAATCTTCCTCTTCGGGTTCATCTAGCTCCCCTCGGTCCATACCGGATTCCCTTGACTTTATAGCCAGTCGTTTGAACGGGGAGGATTCTGATCCCGTGAGTCCAGTAATTAATTCTGGAGTGTTACACACTGATAATGTATTCGTAGGTTTCATCCAGCTCCCGCGGACTCCCTGAAGTTCAACCACTTTCCCCCTTCTCTCCCTTCTTAGTTCCTTCACCACCTATTTCGCCTGAAATCTCTCCTGTGCATCTACCTAATCCCGATAA